AGGTTTTTAAGGTCAGGCTTGACAAAGCCCTGGCTGGGATGATTTAGTTGGGAATTGGTCCTGCTTTGAGCAGGGGGTTGGACTAGATGACCTCCTAAGGTCCCTTCCAACCCTGATATTCTATAATTCTATGACCCCTCAGTCAGGTCCCTCAGGGTGATGGGGGGGGGGGGGAAAGGAGGGAGCTTAGTTCCCAGCCTTGGGATTCCCTCCATTTCCCCAGACCGCTCCAAACTGAAACCCCCTCCAGCAGTCTCACCCAGCCTCCCCCTGGCTCCTCCTCCAGCCTTTGTCCAGTTTCCTGGGCAAAGGTGTCGCCTGGCCCCAACCCTCTTCCTGGCTCAGGTTACAGGCTCAGGTATCATCCCTCAAGTGAAGTCACCCCCTGCTATCCCATTCCCAGTGCAGAAGGTCCCAGTAAAACTTCCCTGCGACATCCCCAGGCCAATCCTCCCCACTCCATCCCCCCCACAGTGACTTATTACAGTCTGTAAGTATCTACACAAGAAGCTAATAATAAATAATGGGCTCTTCAATCTAGCAGAGAAAGACATAGCATGATTCAATGGCTGGAAGTTGAAGCTAGACACATTCAGACTGGAAATAAGGTGTACATTTTTAATGGCGAGAGTAATTAACCATTGGAACAATTTACCAAGGGTCATGGTGGATTATCCATCACTGACAATTTTCAAATCAAGTTTGGATGGATTTTTTTTACAAGATCTGCTCTAGGAATTATTCTGGGGAAGTTCTCTGGCCTGTGTAATACAGGAGATCAGACTAGATGATCACAATGGTTCCTTCTGGCCTTGGAATCAGTCATCTTGGCAATGGTTAGTCTGCTTGTGTGTAGAGATCATAGTCTGTAATGCTGACCTGTCTTACTGTTTCTTTGTACTCCCGTGTTGTCTGTCTCAATTTCTTGTCTCTTGTCTCATACTTATTAGATTGTAAGCTCTTTGGGTAGGGTCTGTCCTTTTGTTCTTTGTTTATACAGCACCTAGTGCAGCAGGGCCCTAGTTCATGACTGGGGCTCCTACGTGCTCTGACTATATAAATAATAAGTGAATCCATTAAAACAGTAATAATGGGTGAGTTCTAATATCTACCTATGTCATATCAAGAACAAATTTTAAAAAGATATTTCTCGACACGTTTATTGTTTGCTTCTTGGAAAAGCTAGTTCTAGAGCACACAAGAGGAGCGATGTAGGAGACTACAGGGCTGCACAGGTGTTCCTGAGGGCAGAATTTTACTTGCAGATTTTTTATTACAGGTGATTAATGTATGAGCCAGAAAGAACTCAGATTAATTTTTAAATACAAGAATGGGTTGCCTTTCACTTGAAAACTGATAAATTCTGTGATAGATGCCATAGAGGGAGGATGCTTTAGGAAACTAGTTAAGTTTTGTATCCCTACAGGTGACCTTTTTAAGTCCTCCACCAATCTGGCTTTCCACACATGTGGTCGGGGCAGGTCAGGGTGAGGGAAATGCACATGTCCTAGAAAGCTTTTGCAGAAAAGTTAATGAGGCATCTGCCCCTATCCCCTTCCACAGGGATCTCTGCAGGAGGGGTGGGGGCTAGCCCATTGATCTCAGGCAACCAATGACTTTCCACCTGCCTTCAGAATGAGCACTGAAAATTACCTTTCTATGATTTTTAATTCATTTTCCCTACTAGAGAAATTATTTTTGTCATTGCCTAAAGGTGGGCTAACATTCAGACAATGAGACTCAATTATACTAGGAAAAATGTTACAAGACCAACATGTGTTGGCTCGCACTAAACCTGCTCTGTATAATTTTGCTGATCTGATGTGAAGCAAAAAATTAGATCTGAAGATGTGAGACAATTATAGGGTTGAAATGTTCTCTTACATTTCTTATTCCAGTCTCAGATATCTAATTCAGACTGTAAATGAATTTTCCATGCATGATATAAGCCATGAGATGGTTTCAATCCATTACCTTTAAGTTATTTATATATTCTGCTTGCTCTACAGGAAGGTTTCAATAAGGAGGTGAGCAAGGACTGGCCTATTTTCTTGAAAATAATACGAGAAGGGGAGAAATGGACACTGAACATGTTCCATAGTCTTGAGATTGCAATAAACTTATGTCTCTTGCAGCTCAAGAGATAGTGTCTTATTCTCTATTATTATATCATTTAGAAGACAAATATTTTCCTGAATCCATAGTTTCTAATGCATTGTTGATGTTTTGTTTGAAAACTCAAGTTGAGTCAAACATATTTATTCTAAAGCAAATCAGACTCACTTTCAGCTTTGTGTAAAATACTAAAAACTTTAACAACATTAAATAGAATTGGATTATTGTCCAAAGATTTCAGGAGATTCCCAGTAACAGCAGCAGAGATATTAAACCTCAGTGTTGCTTGTTTTTCTGTAAGTAACCGGGAAGGAAAGTTGGAACTCTTTTTTTTGTGAAACAATTGTGCATCTGGGCTTTGATCTGATCTACATCTGTGCCAGGATGGATCTCCATCCTTAGAGGTTTTTAAGGCCCGGCTTCTTGAGAAAGCCTTGACTGGGATGATTTAGTTGGTGTTGATCCTGCTTTGAGCAGGGGGTTGGACTAGATGACCTCCTGAGGTCTCTTCCAACCCTAATATTCTATGATTCTATGCCCTGGGAATCTGGGAGCCACAACAAGTGACTCGATCCCTTCCCTTTTCTCCTACACCAAGTGGAAAGTCGGTGCAGTGGAGAATCATGGGAAGCAGTGGTGCAGGATTACCCACAATGCCCTGCCAGTGTGCCTGGAGGAATCACCTTTAGGGCAGCATGGACTGGTGTTGCCTGGAATTCGTGGAAGCTGAGTGCCATTCCTCCTGCAAGTTCCTTTCCTATGCCATCATTAATCTGATTCACTGCCTGATCGTAGTCCACAAGATGTGTTAAAATGAAATAACCACTAAAAATAAACCTGTCCCTTCCATGGGTCTACAAGATGTGCCCACATCAAAACAGAGTGATCCTGTGATCTTGTTACTGTGACCCTGATCTTTCCTGACCCTATTGTTTTATTCATTGGGCCAGGTTTTCAAAGGGCTCGGGTCAGATTTTCAAGCGCTCAGCACCCACGACGGAGGTCTGATTTTCAAAAGAGTTCAGCTCCCATTTAGGCCCCTGTGTAAGGGCCAGATTTCCAGAAGTGCTCCGTAGCCAGCTGCTCCCATTTTGATACTGATGGTCAGATTACCAAATAAGCTCAGCAACAAATGGCCACTTATTTGGGTTCTTAGGCGAGAAATGAGCACTTTTGAAAATCTGGCCCTTAGGGTCATGCCTCAATTAGAATTTAAAGGGAAGATTTTCAAAAATACCTAAATGATTTAGGAGCATGTCACTGACTTTCACTGGGGTTTGTACTCTTCTATCCCTTGTGTGCTTTGCAAATCTCCTAAATTGTTTGGGGAAAGGAAAGTGGCTGGGATTTTCAGTGACTCGGGAGCACAATTTTAATGGTACTTGTGATCTTGAATCTCTTATGCTTTTGAAAATCCCACCCCAGTATCTTTCTGTTTGCTCCTGTCAAGGCTGCTTCCCCACTAGGAACCTTAGGGTACAAATTTGGGGGCCTGCATGAAACTTCTAAGCTTAACTACCAGCTTAGATCTGGTCCGCTGCCACCACTCCCAAATGCTAATTCCCTTCCCTGGGTAGCCTTGAGAGACTCTTCACCAGTTCCCTGGTGAATACAGATCCAAACCCCTTGGATCTTAAAACAAGGAGAAATTAGCCATCCCCCCTCCTTTCTTCCACCAACTCCTGGTGGATCAAAATCCAACCCCCTTGGATCTAAAAACAAGGAAAAATCAATCAGGTTCTTAAAAAGAAGGCTTTTAATTAAAGAAAAAGGTAAAAATCATCTTTGTAAAATCAGTATGGAAATAACTTTACAGGGTAATCAAACTCAAAGAGCCCAGAGGACCCCCCTCTAGCCTTAGGTTCAAAGTTACAGCAAACAGAGGTAAA